TGCGGCGGGGCCACGGTCTGAGCCCGACTCACCCTTCCGCCGGAGCCCGCCCCGCGGCCCCGCCTCTCCTCAGCGCTGACCTCCGCGCCGGGACCCCTGGCCACCCCGACCAGCCATCGCCGAGGTGCCGACCGATAAACTGGGGACGCCAGCTGAATGGACGGTGTCACCGACGCTGATGGACCGACTGGCCGACCACAGGAAGAGACAGTCAGGGGGCCGGGGGACCAGTAGAAGGCTGAACTGAGGTGCGGTCTTAGCGGCTGGTGCATCCGAGGGGTGGCGGGGCGGGATGGTGCCAGGTTCCGGACCTCCCTTTCCTGGGGCTTCTGAAGTCCAGTGGGTCCTTAATAAAGATGTCCGCTTTCTGTTGCTGCCTCTCCCAGACCTCCTGGGGAACGAGGTGATAGCATCAAGTCCTCACCATAGAGTTGGACAAATTGAGGGTGCTCAGATCCCAGGAGGGGTTTGCCAGCAAACTTTTACTAGCTGGAACCCGCTGCGCTGTTGCAGAACCCCCTACCCTGACCACCACCTGTGTTGCCTTTCCTGGATCCCTTGGGGCTGTAAGAAGAGTCTTGCCCATGAGGCTGCTGCTTCCTGGCACCTCCCTTTGGGAGGACAGAGTAATGAGGCCCCAGGATAGGGTGGGGGTTGGCACAACTTTTACCACTGAGTTCTCTCCTAAGTCCCTGTTTCACATTTGGGGAGGTGGAATCCCAGAGAAGCTAAGGATTTGCTTGCATCATACTTATATTTAGGCCCCTCCACTTCCAGGAGACAGATCTTTTCTCAAGCCCCCATGAAGCTTCATTAAGAGTACAGCCTGACTCAGATGACCAGGGTGGGGTGTTTGGTGACTGCCTAAAGCCTTGCTGGATCTCCTAGGAGCCCCCTCCCAATCGCTAAGATGGCTCTACCAGGTGATATCCTTTAACAGGTCCCAGGGGGGCAGGTATGTCATTGGCTTCTTGAGAGGGGGGCCTTAAAGGGCCAGACCTGAAATGAGATCTGCCTTTCTTTCTTTCCACATGGCATTCAGGTCCCTGCCCCACTCAGCTGTGAATGGCCGGGCTGTTGCTTTGCTGCTCACCAGCTGAGTTGACTGCAGCCTCATTTATCAGTCTCTGAAGAGGGTATCCTCACTTCCTGGAAGGATTGTAGTGAGGTTAACACAAGGCAGGGGTCTGTCTTCTTCTCCCATAAGTCATGGAAGAGTGTTTTATTCTCTTAAATCTAGATTACTAGGTCCTAGAAACAGGCGCTGCTTTTGCTGGTGGAGCCAGGAGCTAATTCAAAGCCCTCATTTTAGAGTGGCAAGGTCACATGCCAGCTAGGGACAGAAGTAGGTCCTAGGCCTGTGTGTATCCTTCCTGCAGTATCTCTTCACTGTCCAGGGGCAGGTGCTAGAGAGAACTGGTGTCAGCCTGCCTGCTGTGTGACCAGGACATCTCTGCCCCCTTTTTGGGTGGATTTCCCTCCGTCCCTCTCTGAACATAGCTGTCCCTCCTCATGCCAGGGCTTTGGAATGGGGAGAAGGGAGCCGGATAAGATCATCAGAGTCACGGGATTCTGGTTTAATGCTGGAGTCCTCAGGGTCAGGTGCACTGCTTTGAAAGGCAGAGCCCCAGGGGCCCTCACTTGACCTTTCTTCAGCAACCTTTCCTCTCCCCAGGTACCAGACTTTTTGACTGGTTTCTCAGCTAATAGCCAGGCCTTCCTGAATGCATTCTTAGCTGGGGAAAAGAAGTCCAGGAGGAGTTCTCAGAGACTCTAAGAGCTGGGGGACCAGGAGAGCAGTGAGGAGCTCTGGCATCCTCTGGCCTCCCCAGAAAGGGAGAACCTCCCAAAGCTACTCAGGTCATTTTGGGTCTAGAGGCCCAGAGAGGACAAGGACTCCCTGGAGGTGACACAGTGAGGAGCTCAGGCTGCAGCACTGGGCTGCAGCCAGGACTGTTTGCTTTCTGGGTTGCACAGGAGAGGGACGCTTGGTCCAGAGAAGCTTTTAGCTAATGGTGTAAAGTGCTCTGTGTCACCACAGTTTTGCCTTTCTCTGGGATTTATTGGTAATCAGCTTTGTCCTGACTTTGGGGGAGGGGGTGGGGGAGGGTAGGGAATTAGAGATGGCTCCTGCTGGAGAAAGTGGTAAATGTAGGAAATGGACATTGGTCCTAGTGTCACAGGCAGCTCTGTCCCCTCCCTCCACTTCCAGATGTCCCACTGATTCTCACTAAGGGCCTTGGCCAGGGCACACAGCGCTCAGTGACTTTAACCCCAGCTCTTGACTCAGTGCTCTGCCCACTACCCCTTAGCCAACTAATTAAAGTCACCTTTGCACTCCTGCCTAGCCCACCCCTCTAGAAGGCTCCATATTCTACTCAACCAACCAACATTGCTATCTGCTCAGTCCAGGGACTTGAGAAGCAACACTGAATTAGAGAGTCTATGCTTCCAAGGGCCCACGTCTCCCAGCCATCCTCTTGGCAGCCTTACCTGGCAGTCATCATCCCAAGGAACCCTCTGGGGCTGGGCAGTTTGTGGTGTTGGAGGGCTGTTTTTAGGCCTTCACAAATAACTATAGCCCCTGGTTATATAATATGCCCCCCATGACTTCCTGAAGACTTTCTAGATGGCCCCCAGCCATCTAACACTGGGGACTGGACTGAGTACAGGGGATCTTGAGGGATCTGTGCACTGAGGACATTGATAGCCACCAGTGAATGTGGGATCTCAGCAGAAGGAAATGAGGGAAATAGGAGTCTTTCTTCAGGCCAGTGCCTGGGGCTGGAAGACCAGTTCAGAATTCTAGTTGGGACTTGGCCCTTGGCTGGATGAGCTCTTTCACTCTCTTGGCTGGCCCTCGCCAAGTGAGGGCGCCTCTGGGCAGTGCCACCAGAGGGCAGTGTGGGGCTGCTTTCTGGGGCGTGGGGGCGTGGCTTGGAGTAGGCTTGGTCCCCAGTGTCCCAGCACCCGATCAGCCCCTTTGCACGTTGTCCGGGCTTCTCAGGCTTTGAGCTTTACGGGTCTGGCGGAATTAGCTGGTACTTGCGGTCATGTAGCGAAGGGGCGGGCCCACTGACCTCAGGGAGAAGGTCCATCAGGAAAGACTTTCCTGAAAAGAGAGGTTGCCCTTGTTGGCAGTCACGTTCTGAGTAAAAGCCCAGAGTCGTTTTCACTCCTCACAGATTTGTTACACTGATAATTGTTAGAACAGCCTTATCCCGCTGCCACCTGGGGATACAGGAGGCTTCCTAGAGATTGGGTTGAAGCAACAATTCTCAGCTAAGGTGCTCCAAGCCTGCAGTGGGTAGTCTCTAGAAGGCTCCCTTTCCCTGACAGCCAGGTCCTTCGAGAAAAACCCAGCGTCCCAGGCTTCCCCAAGCTGAAGGAGAGCCTTAACCTTGTCACTTGCTTGATAGCCAGCGTGGGAAGAGGTATTTGGGAAAGCTGGGAGGTCCCCAGCCTGTTTCTTCCCACATTAGTCCTTGACCACACCCTGGCCAGAAGTGATGGGAATCCTTGGTTCTAGAATAATATATTAACCACCTCCTCTATGCCAGGTACTGTGCTAAGCACTTAACACCTATTATCTGTTTCAATCCTCTCGGCTACTCTGCAAAGTAGGAATTATCCCTATTTCCATGGATGAGGAAACTGAGGGTCAGGGAAGGCAGGTGAGTTGTCCAAGGACATAGAACCTGTAAGTGAAGGATACCTTAAACATTAGGCTATGTGGCTTTTTATTTATTAGGCTAATGAGGGCTCCATTTGGAGGGTTTCTGGGCTCTCATCCTTTAAGTCTGGGTACAGTCACCCCTGGTCCTTGATTCTGGGAAGGGATGTGATGAGATGTTGGAGGAGTGGCAGAAGGTGCCCCCAACAAGATCTGGACACAACCCCAGAGGCTGGCTCCCCAGCTTGGTTGTCTGGGTTTTGTGGGGTGAGTCAGGCTGAGTCAGCACACCTGGCTTCAGGCAAGGGTGGGCCAAGGATGCTCAAGGTCTGGGCTTGCCTTGGAGGGCTGCCTCCTCTCCTGCACACCTGGGCTGGAGAGTTTGGTGCCAAGGAGAGCAAAGTGCCTCGGATGGCAGAGGAGAAGGGTGAAAGGTAGGGCACAAAGTGTCCTGTGTTAGAACAAGACAGACCTGGGGTTTAGTCCTGGCCTGGAGCTTCTCAGCTGGGAGACCTTGGGCAAATGACCCTTCTCTGAGCCAGTTGTGTGTGTGTGTTTCATGGGGAGCTAGAAAGGAGATAACTTCTGAGAATTAAATGAGAGGTCACACTAAGTGCCTAACACATAGAGGAGGTTGGGAAATGTTCGATAGAGCCAACCTGCCTAACCCAGGACAGGCTGCCAGGACAGATCCCCAAGGCAGTGTGGGCCTTTGCTTCTCCAGAGCATCGCCATATCAGGCAGCCCTGGAACAGTCCCCTTTCTCCCCCCACTACAGTCCCTGAGGAACTCCATAAGGGGAGAGGTGGAGGAGGGGACAGGCTTTTTATCCCAGGAACATTCCATTCCAGCTGCTCAGACCAGTGGGGATCCCAGCCAAGGACAAAGGCCCAAGGGAGCTCACCCCAGGAGCCCCCACCCCTTCTAGGGCGGGAGCCAGTGGAGCCCAGTTCCAAAATATTGCCCCTGCACCTTCTCTCCACAATGGTCCCTCTTAGGGAGGTAGATGTTGAAGGGTTTGGGTGGGGCTGGGTGGCTGTGGGAGAGAGTTAATTAAAGCACTTGAAATGATTCTTTCCAGCTCCTCCCAGCTCCTTAGAGCCTCGTCTCTGGATCTGGACTCCTGGATTCTGTTCCTTCCCTGGGCACCTCCTTCAGGAAGACTTCTCGAATCGACCTTACACAAGCATGGCGCCCTCCTCACTTCACAGGAGCCCTTCACTTTATAGTGGCAAGGGGCTGGATTCTGGGGAAGTTGCCTATACTATGAATTTCTTTATATATGCCACATATGACTTTGGCTTACACTGTACAATTGGAAATGTTACAATTATACAGGTCCTTGAGATGCAATCAGATTATTTAAGAGAGCAGCAAACATTTCCAATGTGAAAGTGAAAAAGATTTCTTTTAAAAATATAGTCATCATTCTTAAATCACAGTGCAGCTGAGGCCCCCATTTGGCTTCTCAGTCTAACAGCACCAGGAGGCCTGTTTGAGGGAAAACATTGCTCTGAGGAATTCCTCACTGTCCTTGCCCTCTCTTCATGGGCACGGGGATGTGGCCCCTCAGAAAAATGATTGCTTCTAGGTCCCTGGAAGAAGTGTTGGTAACATAAAAATTCCAAGCTAAGTTTTAAATGAAAAAAAATGGGCACATTTATTCAAATATCCTAGGGATAGAGGGATGGGGGCCACACTAACTCACACGCAACCCAGAACTTGTAGAATTCTGCAAAATGAATGCATATTGAGTCAGTCCCCTGATTTATACATTCAGAAAGAATAAAGCTCAGTAATGTGAGACAAATGTGTGTGGTTTTGAGGCTTTGAGGCTTTACTTACATCTGCAAGTGTGCTCGATGCTTTCCTTTGTGTGTGTCTGTCATGGCTCTTTAAGTTGGCAGTTCCTTGAGCAGCTTCTGTTCAGTTTTGTTTGGCAGTCTGGGCCTGGTTGACTGATTTGCAGACTGACTTCTCCGTTGACCTGGCTCAAAGCTGACCCTCTCCAGGAAGTCTTCCCCAATTAAGGACATGATGAGGAAGCCAGGGGGTGGAAAGCATGCAAAGGGAGGCTGAGCATGTCTGTGATAAACTGGCAGCATGATTTGGGGCCCATGCTGGTGACTGGATGGACCTGTCTGTCAGTCAGCGTCCCAGCAGGAGACTGGGCACATTCAGACTGGGGAGAGATTTTAAAAGGAAATATCTCTAAAGATGGGGGCTGAGCTTAAGAAACTAACAAGATAAGGTGCAGCTCTCTGGGGCTAGCAACCTGGGAGAAGCCTTTACATGTCCTGGGCCTGAAGGGGGAGAGGAGGGGAAGAAGGGAGGGGGAGAGAAAGAGTAGAAGGGAAGGGGAGAGGAGGGCACAAGGACTGGAAAGTACAGCTGTATGGAGAGCCCCTGACCAGAGCAGTGGTCTTTGGTTGAGAGACCAGCCAACCAGCCACCTGGTGGGAAGGGAGCAGGGGAAATGAACACCCTATTCTCCTCCTCTCTCCAGTAACTTCTGCTGGGGACTCTCACTGGCTGAACCCAACAGGGAGGCAGGGAACAAGGGAGCCATTGATGCACAGTCCATAGAGGTCAGCCTCTCAAGGGCACAGAGCATGGAGAAGGGCAGAGAGTGGGACTGGAAGGGACAACACATTGCATAACTGCCCGGGGGCATATCTTCTGTTTCCCAAAGTTCACAGCAAGGCTTTTTCCCCCTCTGGAGCTCCCCTCACCCACCCACTGAGGGAGATGGGGGAGAGCTGGACTGTTGCTTGGAGAGCACTGTGGGGGCAGGGGGTGGGGCACGGGGCTTTCCCCCCTCAGCCTTCCCCTCTCTGGCTCTGATTCCCAGTACTTGATTCCTTCCTGTCCTGGCATCTTAGGTGGCTGCAGGAACTGTCCACGAAAGAACAATGCCAGCCACTGAGTCAGTGTTTTTCTCATACCTGGAAACACTGCACCACGCCCAAACACACCCACAGGCACACCTGCTGCTACACGGGCCTCTGATGTAGTCACCACAAGCCACGGCTGGTGGCACAGCTGCATCAAGAAAATGTACAACTCTGCTACACTGTGCTGCGTGGTTATATATAAAACGGCGAAGTCACAGTAATGCCAGCTCTTTAACTCTGTCACATGCCAAACATACTCTGTCACATACACGTACAGGAGACATATGTCATGCTGGCCATGTGAAATCAGAGTGTAGGGGCAGGATGGAGCAAGGGTTAACAGCAATGACTCTGGAGGCAGACAAACCTCTTTGACCTCTCTGGCATCAGTTTCTTTATCTGTAAAATGGAAACACGACTTGCTCTTCTCTCTTGGAGACATTGTGAGGGTGAAATGAGAGGGTATGATTGCAGAGCTCTTAGCATGGCTCCTAGCCTGGAACACTCCAGAAGTGGTAGCTGAGAGCACATGCGTCTGCACAAGGTCAGCACAACAGCCTCAGGCACAGGTGCTTTTCCCCAGACACGCCTGCCAGGAGCACGTGTACATGGACAAGTCTCTGCCTGGAACGCCCTTTCCCCAGACATCTCATCTGTGTGGCTCATTTCCCACTGTCTTTAAGTCTTTGTTCAATCCAATGTCACCCTTTCAAGGAGGTTTATCCTTTTAAAAATGGCAAACCTCAGAACTTCCAATCCCTTACCCTGCTATGTATATTTTTAGACATCCGTTGACCTTCTAAGACTATATAGTTTCCTTTCTTTCCATCCCATTAGAATGTAATCTTCCTGAGGGTAGGGAACTTAGTCTTTTGTTTGCTGTTGTGTTCCCACCCCGAGAGGGGTGGCTGGCGCATGTGGGCTGAATCCAGTGTTTACAAACCTGTGCCCTGGGTTTCTGGCTGTCTCACCCCTGATAAGCACATCCAGGTGAACTCCACTCCCCACCCCAACAAGCTAAGCCTGTGTGCTTACACTGTGAGCATCCCCTCATGCCCAAAGCAGGAGCTGGGACAAACTTACTTCCCCACCTCTAGGATCCTAGTTGGGTGGGCACAACCCAGGGTGGGGTGGGAGGCTACTTTCAGTCACCACAAAATAGCCTTTCCTCTTGCCCTCTGACCATTCTAAGTCCCACAGGGACCCATTGTGCAAATGAGATGACTGGGCTCATCCAGGTGACCTGGGGCCTCCTCTGCGGCCTTGTTTTTTCCACGCTGGCTGGAACCATCAAAGCCAGCACTTCAGAGGCCACTAATGAGGCTGAATATTTTAAGGGCTTTGCAATCCCTGGATCAAAGAGGCTGGGCAGCGTCCAGGCCGTTGACTGGCTGATGCCCTGAGGAAACAGCTCCCTGAGCGCCTGAGGCTGGCACTCACACCCAGCCAGGCACAGCCCCAGCTAGGTTTGGGAAGGAGAGTCCTTGCCCCTCCGGGGGATCTGCTTAGAACAAGCCAGAGTGTGCCCACCAGCATTTGGGGGTGTTAAAGGGAGCCGGAGGATTAAGGAAGACTCTCTCAGGAGGGAGGCCAAACCTGGGCTCCTGCTCTGGGGGACCATAGAAGCTCCCCAGTCCCAACTGCCACTATTGGAGGGGTCTTAAGTCCAGACCCATCCCACTTGTTTGCCGCCCGCTTCCTGGGAAGATTGGGGAAGGGAGCAGAGCTGGGGTCAAGCATTCCTGAGCACTGCAGTGTGAGACCAGGTCCAGGGTCATTAGGACTCCAGGTAGAAAAAATTGAAATATTTGTTCTTTAACAAGAGATTTGCTGAGGCAATGTACAGGGGCAAGTTACACGGGTAGACAGTACCTCCTAGCACGTCACCAAGCTGGGGCTGGTGTTGAGGGGAGGAGGAGGCCCAGGACTCAGATGCCACCCCCCACATGTCCCCTCTCACAAGCCAGACTTAGGCTGGGGGGGGCGACCACAGCCCCTAGTCATGGAGGTCCTTCTCCCAGGAGAAAGTATGGTGCTAGACTCAGTGTAGATGATCTTTATTGGCAGGTGTTGAGTGCAAAATAGTAACAAATCCAGAGGGAGGGGAAATGAAGTGGGGCATGGCTTTCATCCCCCACGTGAGAACCCTATAAACAGGCCAGTGGGGGTGGGAGCACTTGATGTTTCCTCTTTGGACCCAGACCCAGAGCCCTCCGGAGAACAAGCTCCCAGGCAGGAGGGCTCCTCACCACATGGGGGAAGGGAGCAGCACCCCAGAAGGGGCATGGGCTGTGTCCCACCTCAGGCTGCTGGATTCCTGTCGAGTCCACACACCACGACAGCTCGAGGTATGGGTGTTAGAGGACTGGGCTAAACCTATCCCTTTCCAAACTTAGGTATCTGCCTCATGCCTCAGTTTCCCTGCTCCTGGTGATGAGCCAGGTTGGACCATCAGGCCCTGTTAGTGGCCTAGCCCAACCCAAAGTGAGTAGTTCCCCTAACATACCAATTTTAGCCATTTTGTGGGCTGCAGCCCCTTGGAGGCTACTGGTTTCACTGTGGGCTGGCTCTAGCCAAAAAGACCCTTTCTAGGCCACAGAAATCAACCTGAGATGATGGGCATTGACGTGGCTACTATCCCAAACATGCTTTGTCTGCTGAAGGCAACTGACTCCCAAGACAAAAAGCCCCTGCATCCTACAATCATGCTGGTCCAAAGAGTGGTGCAGTAACCAGAAGGTCCACCTATCAAGAACCCCAGCTTGGCCTTAAGTCCACAGGGTCCTCATTCGGGGGAGTCTGGTCTATTCAGTTGAAGGCCCAACCCTGCAGCAGTGCTGGGCCACCTGGTACAGGCTGCTTGTCTCTGGTCATGTCCTCCACACACTCCTGGAGGCCCCACTCCATCTGGGGAGGCCTGGTCCTTTCTGGCCAGGGTCTGAGTCAGTTACAAGGCAGCCAGGTGGGATAGGAGGCCTGGGCCTGGGCCAGTAGAGGCTGCACGGGGGTCACATAGTAATTGACAGTGGCCGGCACGACCCCGTCGGGGCCTGGAGGGCGCCAGGCCAGGGCGGTGGTGGCCGCCGGGCCCTGCTCAGCCAGTGCCTGGAGCGCCAGGGTGGCGATGAGGTCCAGCGTCTGGCGGCGCTCGTGGCTCATGAGGCACACGGTGCTCTCGTTGACCACCCGGTGCAGTGTCACCAGGCAGGCGTAGCGGCGTGCCGAGTCGGCCCCGCTGAAGTGGGCCTCCAGGTAGCGCTCCAGCGTGCGCTGCTGCTCCGCCAGGTCCGGGAAGTCGATGAAGAAGCGGGAGCACATGTAGCGCTGCAGGGCGCCCACGTCGGTGCTGGGCCGCGGCCGGAAGCCCCGCACCAGCAGGTGGCAGTACTTGAGGAGGCCGCCCCCGCGGATCTCCTCGGGGCTGCGTGTGGCAATGACGCGGTGCCGCAGGTGGTCCAGGGCCTCGGCGAAGTCCCCGTACAGGCTCTCGCCTGTCACTGTCGGGTGGAAGGCCTCGGACATGGGTGTGGATGAGCACTGGCCGAAGAGCAGCAGGGAGTCCAGCAGGATCTGGAAGGAGTCTATGCTGAACTCGAATTGGCGCCTGACCGAGTCCACGAACTTGAGCTCCATGTTCTTGCCGCTTTTGTTGGACAACGAGATGAGGCTCCAGCGGTCTGTGTCCGTGCACACTTTTACCAGCTTCTGCACATAGGCCTCCTTGAGTGTCAGGGGCGTGATCTTTGCCCGGCTCACACCGGCAGGCAGGAAGTCCAGCAGGCAGGCCAGCACCACTTCCTTGGTAAGCTGAAAGGATGCCTCGCTGCGCAGGTCCACGCGGAATACCAGGTCCAGGTCCTTGTAGCCCAGGCCACTCTCGGGGTGCAGCACGTGGCTAGCAGCCGAACCGTGCAGCCGCACACCGTGCACACGCAGCCCCCTTTCCTCTAGGCTGCTGCGGACGACCTGCAGAGGGGACGCAGGAAGGGGAGGTGTCAGCAGGAGGGAGAAGTGACAGCGACCTGGGCCTCAGGGTCTGCTGTGGGCTTCCACATAATAATCACAGTGACATCAACCACTGTTGACCACTTATCAGCTGTTGTGCCTTTGGAAAGTTATTCATCTCTGAAGCCTTTATTTCCTACTCTGGTCCATTTGGAGGAATGACTCAGAAAGAATAGCAATACGGATAGCAAACACATGCATAGAATTTTCTAAATGCCAGGTCCTAATCTAAGCCCTTTACACGTTAGAATATAAACTCACGTAATTTTCACAGTAACTCTATGAGGCAAGTACTATTATTCCCACTCTATAGTTGGGGAATTGGAAGAACAGAGGGGTGAAGTAACTTGCCTGAAGTCACATAGCTGGTGAATGAAGGGCTGGGAATTAAACTCAGAGTTCCTGTCTTAATCATTATGCTATTCTACTTCTCTAAAATTGCAAGTAAAACAGTTTTGTGCCAGGCATGATGCAGAATGCTCAAATGTGTTGGGAATGTAATTGGTAGTTAACATGTATTACAACATTAACCCTCACAATAATCCTGTTTGAGTATTTTTAACGCAACTTACACATGGGGGACCTGAGGCACAGAGAAGTCGTGCCCAAGTCAGAGATAGCCAGGCTGAGACTGAGACTAGAACCCAGGTCAGTTGGATTTTCAAGTCCATGCATGCTCTTTTGACCAAGACACATTCATCTTAATTCCTCTTTACAAGGATCCAGTGATGCAAATATTAGACTCATTTTACAGATGAGGCTTTAAGTGGTAAAATACCTAAGGCTCATTCAGAAATGGCAGAGCTGGAAGTTAAAACCCGGACTCTTACTGCTCTTGGGCAAGGAGATGGGTCAAGATCTCAGGAAGCCTCCCAAGTCAAGAGGAAAGAATATAGCAGATCCCGTGCTAACACAGGAACACGACAGATAAACCTACGAGTCACCTTGAGCCTGTTCCTCTAGCCAGAGGCGCCTCCCTGGGCCTAGGACCAGGGAGGGGAGAGAGAGGAGCTGAGCCCTAACATTCAGTCTTCCCAGCAGCCCAGAGTACTTCACACACAGAAAGTGACCAGGCAGCATTCCTACCCTGAGTGATTCCGCAACCCCGCCTTGTTGCTAAGTCAGCGCCAGGCTGGGCTGCTCTGTTGGCCTCCCCGGGAATTACTGCAAAGAATGCACCTAAGTGCTGAGGAGGCAAGCTGCTGTGGGGCAATCTGAGGTGGGCGGCTCCCTCCAGGAAGCTTCCGGGAGGAGGACCCTGACTGGGGGAAGGTATTGTCACGGCTATGGGGGGTCAGCAACTGGCCATCAGGAACATGGGGGACCACGCAGCTGGGGTGGGGGAAGAGGAACATTGGTTAGGCACCTATTGGGCGCCAGGCATTGGACATTCCCACCAGAATCTATGGGCAAATAGATCTTTAGGGTCTCCAAGCTATAGATGGGGAAACTGAGAAGTGAAGCTACCTGCCCAATGTCACTCAGATGTGTCTTCAAATCCAGGTCTGGCTGATTCCACAATCTACCCTCTTTCTACCACATTGACCATCCCAGGGTTCAGAAGGAGCAGAGAACCAGGAACTAGGGTTCCAATTTTCCTTCCCTTTCAAAATTTCAGAGTGAGGGCAATCCTCCAGTCACCAAAGCCCCAGGCCAGAGTAGCTGGGGAGGGACAGTGGGGGTTGGGAAATGCCTTGGCCAGACAGGAGAGGCTGGAGGTAAGGGGCCAGCTGCTGCAGTCCATCCTGTGGGACTTCCAACCCACACTCTCCCAACTGGCAGCTGCCCCCATGTAGGCCAAGGAGAGAATCAGGCCAAAGACCTTGTCCCAAGGATCCTGGCAAACCTGCAGAGCAGACCAGCCCCCTCCCCAAACCCCTTTAGAGCTGATGAGACTTACTCAGTGCCAGCTCCTGCTCCTAGGCTGATGCCCACCCCAGGGCATGGCATCTGGCCTGGTGAGTAGGTAGCAGTATTCTCGTTAAATTGCCTGCGTCAGGCCATGGGGCCAGCTGTGTCAGCCAGCCAGCGGCTGTTGTCTGTTTCCCAGGTGTGACTACAGCCAGTTTGGCAGGCAGTCCCCAGATACTGCCACACCCAAGGACTGCAGGGCAGCTTGAAGCCTCCTGAATCAGACTTTTCAGCCATGGAGGAGGCAGTAGCTGCACCCTCCTTTCTCCTGTGCCAAGGCCCTCCCCCAGACCACTCTGGTGTCAGGCCACTGCTGAGACCTGTAGGGAGACTGTAGGTGCTTCAGCCAGCAGGCTTACCAAACTTGAATCCAGAGCCACCTAATGCAGGCCCTCTGGCTGCAACTAGAAAGATCCTAGTCTAATGCAATTCTCTGGGCCCAGAGAGGGCAAGGGACTTGTCCAGAGTCACACAGCCAGTAAGTGGCCAAACTTAATTAGAACCAGTCCTCCCAGAGCTATGGGCAAGGGGGACACCTATAGGAGAGTGGGTCCCTCTAGCTTAGATACAAGCAAGAACATCATCTCTAGCTGCTCAGATTGCTGCTGTAGGCAAAGCCTTGCTGGGGTAGAGAGGGAGAAAGATTTCAATTCTTGAACTGTTGGGACAACACAGCACTGGTGAGAAGCACAAAGTCAACACCAGCACCCTCACCACCATACAACCAATACCTCCCTTCCCCCTGCACACATATTTACACACATATCCCAGTAGCTTGTGAAGCTGCTAGCTGCAGATTCCTGCCAGGAGATGCACTTTCTTCCCCATAGAGGCAATTGCGCAGGTCAGGCGGTTGTGAAGGCACCTGTTCCCTTTGGATTCTGGAAGCAGAAGGGGTGTAGGAGAGTGGTTCAACCCATCCCCAATGAACAGATAGGGACACTGGGCCCAACAAAAGGAACTGACAGCTGCTCAGGCCCTGAAGTCAGATGTCCAACTTCCTAGTCCAGCTCTGAAGTCTCTGCCACCCCCTCCCCACTGCAGCTGGCAGCTCCCTGTTCTGTGATATTTCTGACCCTAATCTAGGGGACACTGTACTAGGATCATATTATCAGCTCCTATTGACCTACAGTCTCTTCCACCTGGCTGGGAGCACCTGAAAGGCAGGGAAGCTGGGTCCCAGTCACATCTAGGCCCTTAGTGTCCTGAACGGGGCTTGACATAGAGCAGGCATCAGTAAAGGCAGTGTGGACCATACTGACAGGGGTAGGGACTTCCCCTACAGGGTACCCCTTGTCTCTGCAGAGGGGAACAGCCACACTGGGCTGATACCTGGGACAATATTCCTGGAGATAGAGCATTTGGGGCCCCCAAGATTGACCTGACTGTCCTGGGGAGAAAAGCCTCAACTGGTTTCCTAATTACACCATGACAGCAGCGGGGCCTCAGTGTGCCTCAGTGAGCAGCACTGGTGAGTCAGCCCTGGGGAATCTGCCCTCACCCCCTCCCATTCCTTGGGAGGGAGGGAGGGCGAGGTAATCCCCTAGCAAATCACCCCTCCCCCTCCGTGGAAGCTAAGGCAGAAGGAGGCAGGGGAGTGGCCTGCTTCACCTGGATTGTAAGGCTAGCTCCCCAGAAAGAAAGTCCAAGGTATTGTAGCTAGATTTTCCTGTCTTGTCTAACAGAAGACTCTGCTAAGCCCTAGAAGTTGAGTCTTAGGAACCGGAGAAGAGGTAGAAAAACCTTAAACCTGCAGTAACGAGATCCTGGGAAGACTTAAGAGTCTCAGGATTTGATTTTCACCTCTAGGTAATCCTAGGCAGTTCATTGCCCTTCTTGGGGCCTCAGCTTCCCCAACTATAAAATGGGTACAATAATCACCACATTCTGATATTTCAGAGCATGACAGTGCCTGGGCTATACAGATGAAAGAGCAATTTTAGGCTTGTTGAGGGTCCAGTAAAGGGAAGAGGGATCCTGCGGAAGAGGAGAGGAGTTACCAGAATTCTCTTCTCCCATTCCTCAGGAGACAGACGGGACTCCAGCCAGAGACCTGGGCCTGCATTTCCAAGCTTGGGGAGGGGGAGGAACATCTAAATTGGACACCTGATGGTGCCCTCCGCCATGAGGGCATCAGGTCTGGCCTGGTGCTTAGTTAATCTCCTGCCACAATCCCAGTTGAGAGGGAGGGAGGTGCTGGGATTTCTTAGCTTTTGAGGGGGCTCCTGAGCCAAGGGCTATGGGAACACAGGACAGAGTCTGCCCCTAGAAACTTGAGGGAGGGGAGAGGTAGGGTGTGAGGCCCAGGGATGACAATTTGGAGATGAAAAGAACTCAAGTATACACATCTACCCACCCTGGGCAGCTTGGCATCTGTTGTCCTTTCAGGGGGGGCTGTTCTCCCAGGACCAAGTCCCTCCCCATTCCCCCTCCGTTCCCTGGCCAGAGGAGAATTGTCTGACGGGAATCGGGACTCCCCAGAGGCAGGGGACGGGGAAAGTCAAGTGGGGAGAGATTATGATGTGCAAGGGGAGGGGGTATGGGCAACCATCAGTGCTGTGAGATTTTTTTTTACAGCTTCCGTCCTTCTCTGAGCCTTGTCTTCCTAGCTGTCCAGAGAATCGAACAGACTCCAGGAGCCTCCCAGCCACGAGAGCCTCAGGATCGAGACCTCATATTCCCGCCCAGAGCCTCTCACCTGGACGATCTGCCGGGGCTGCACGCTCAGCGTGGGGAAGTTGCCGCGCCCGTGAATGGGAATCGGCTCGCTCAGGAGCGCGTCCAGCCGCTTCACCTGGGGCCAGCTCAGCCCACTCAGGTGCCGTCCGAGGGAGGCCGACGAGCCTCCGGGTACGGGCCGCCGCCTGCCGGGCGCCTGTGCCGCCTCCGAGGCCGCACGCCCGTCCCACCTGTGCAGCCGCCGTCCGGCTCTCCGCTCCG